ATAATACGTGCATGATATATGTATTATATCAGGGCTTGGCACCAGTATGACTGTAAGATAATTATACTCATTAAATGTGTACAATTTGATAGTGCATAGCTGTACTTATTATACTAACAATTTCGTTCTGTATATTTGATCAAATTTTTGTATTTAAAAAAAATACAAAAAATAAATATACAGAAACTAAATTGATCAAAGCTAATAAATCATTCAAAACAGTGATTTTAATGCAGCACTTTCTAGAAAGAACCAAATCTTTTTTAACTGATTCTGCCATTTCACATCATTATAAATATCATAAAAATTAGTAAAACCTGTGCTCTTAAATAGCATCCAAACATTTTAGCAGTTCTATTGATTTAGAGACAACGACATTAGCGTTTTAATCCCGAGTAGTACCATAAACTACATGAAGAAATCCATTTAATCAATATTCTCATTAGTCAATGAATATTATACTTCAGTTGTATATTGCTATGTAACTCGATTAATTCTTTCTTATACTCTCGCAAAGAAAGGCAATCTTCCATTAAAGAATAAAACATTTTACAATACTGCTTTGTTGTAAAGAAACAGCTTCTTCCTAAATTCTGATTTCTACAGCATCAGACTTGGAAAAATAAATCATTGTCAAGAATTGAAATTCAATCGACTGCAATTGAAGATTACAATTTTGTCAAATTATGTAAAATAGATGAATTTTTAACTACTCCTTGTATATCTTGCCACCTAATCTCCCCGTTCTTTTCATTTAAAAAATCGTAGTAATGGCAACTTCATTCCTACCGCTTGCGCAGCTGCTATCTGTCATCTACTTTTTTGGCGAATTCATTAAATCTATGTGTTCCTTTTCTTCTTCCGTGAGAAATATTTTGGTAATTACTATATCACCTGTACTATATGTTTGGCAAGCCACACTATTTCTCACATTATGATCCGTTTGCGGACTCTTGGTTTTGTCCCGACATGAGCATGTACATTTCGATGGGGACGCGTCTGCACTGCTTGAAGAAAACTGATCCGTCACGGAACCAGTCACTGCTGAAAGAATAGCTTCCAGTTTTTCAATTTTTTCAAATCTGTCCATCCGTTCATCAGAAAGTATTTCGTCCATCATCTGCATTGATTCTGTAAGGCTGGGTGTATCTGTATTTCTCGGTGACAATATACCACCTGTGCAAATGAGTAAATTTGAATGTTTCGTATTCATGTAAATGTAAATTACAGAATTACACTGCCCAATTCATACGTTATTTGTTATAAATAGAAAATAATCTCTATACGTTTTTGAGTTAAAAACATGCTTAAATGCCCGTAATGTCATGAAAATATACATTATTTAACTTAAAAGAGTTGATAGTATCGTATTTTTCAAGATTTATACACTTCTTATTATGAAATTTGTCCAAATTTTAGAGTAACTTTACTTAGGAAGAAGTTAACATTTTTGGGACATTGTTATTAATTACAAATAGAATATACCAGAGTGTGAATTTTCGGAAGTATAACTCTCCATACTATGATATTCGTCATCGACTTTATCTTCGTCATCGTCATCACTGCTATCTCCTTTGTCTTGGCCTATATTTTCAAGTTTCTCTAATTTTCTGGCAACTTTGTAACTGCCTCTCAACTTCTCTTTTTCATCCTCGGTAAGATCCAAATAACGTAAAAGACGTATCTCACGATTACTTAAGACGATATTTTTAGTGGTTGTTTCCTCCATCCTCTTTTTCAAATCTGCGACTTCGGTCTCCACTTTTCGTTGCTTTTTGCGTGCCTTTACGTCTGCCGGCTTAATGTATATTTGTATTTGCTCTTCGCATAATTCAGCAAAAAGAGGTTGTACTTCTGGCTTTATTAGTCTGGCAATAAAGAATTGAAAAATAAAAGATAAGAAACAGTCTCATTACACAGTAAAGAAACTCAATTATAAATATAAACAAATCATCATAATAAAATAATAATAAATAGAATAAAAAGATATTTTTAAGATATTGAGCAAATAAATCATACTTAGCTATGGAAACATATATCTGAGGAACTAAGTTCAAAACGTCGCTGCTAGCATAAATAAGCATATCTCGTGTTAATGGACGCCGACACCAATACTTTTGATTATTACGGTAAGTGTTCTTGAATTGTTCCTTTAATGGATTAGATGGAGCACCATAAAGATCACATAATGTGTTTAAGTTAACATTTTTAACCTTATATACAGGTTTACCAGTTTCTTGGTATTGAAGCACAGCATGAGCTGCCTACAAACAAGTTCATAATTTGAATTTCCAATAATTTATGCTTTTATTATTTTTCAATATTTAATAACAAAAAAAATACCTGCGTATCAAACACATTGTTTAACATGATTTTGAATTGTCTGTACAAATTGACACTGTCATTTCTACAGTCATGAATTACCTGAAATGCAATGTATAATGTTCATGGAATATACGTTTAAACGGATGGGCATACAGAATAAGAAAATATTATTTCTTACTTTAATAACATTTGGATGCTCTAGAAGTTTTTGGAGTCCTCCAGCTTGAACAATACTAGGACATGTAATTAGATCAAATACATATGCTTGTCCAGACATAGTACCAATTTGTATAAGAGTTAATTGTCCTTTAATTCCCAAGTTAATGCCTTCACAATCCATCGATACAACAATTTTACCATCCGATGGTGGTTTACGAGGATTTATTATATCATCAACAATTTGAAGACTTTCCCTTGGATTTACAATTACTCTAGTCTGTTGCAGTACTTTCAATTTCCATGCATCTCCCATTTGTGCCACCTGCAAACTACGATCTTTCTCTGTATTGTCCGCCAAAGTCTTCATTACAAGTGTATTTATTCTTTGCTTTAAAGTTTGCTGCTGCAAACTCACTGGAGGAGAATTATTATTGCTTTCATTTATTTGAGAATAAGAATTCTGTACAGAGTTAGCTTGGCTCACTGGATTAGCAGTAATAGATTCTGAATCAACTGGTGGCTGCAATGTTTGAGTATTATTTGACTGCACAACTTGATGCATATTTACTTGACTTGAAGTACTATTTTGATTTCGTACAGAATTGACGGGCTTTGTTTTTGTTTTTCCTTCTATTATGGAAGATTTCGGTCTCCCAATTAATGTCACCAAATTACTTTGAACGTGAAATGCATCTGGGAACATTTTTACAAATGTACATAAATCTTGAGGTGTTTTAAATATTGAAGTCCAATTTTCATAAGAAAATTTATCATCAACTATATTGAACATTTGATCCACAAGAATTGGACCTTTTTGTTCAATACATTCGCAAAGAAAATCCAGTAATTTTGCAGTAACATCTGGATCGATGGGTATATCGGGCTCCATTTTCATTGCAGGCTCTGCTTTCATGCCTTCGTACTGCTTCAACATTACATTATCTTCAGTAACTACAAAAGCATCTGGATATTTCAAAAGAAAATCTCTAAATTTCTTATAATGTTGTCCAGAAATATGTCTAACTTCTGGAGAAGCCTGAGATCGATGTCCCAAAAGGCTACTAATCGGCACCTCTGTACCAACTCCATATTGCATTAATTTATTTGTAAAATATTCTACAGCCTCTCGTGCATAATCACGTTTACTGCTCAATTTACATCCATTTTCTTCCTCAGCAATTTGTTGAAAAGTATTTACAGATACGTAATCGTCATTAATAACAAAAAGTATTGGATATTGAGATAAAAATTTCTTAAGGCCACTTTGAGATCCACCAGCTATTTGACGCATCTCCTTTGTGAATCCCTTAGCTCCAAATTGGCAGCTTAAATCATGCAGTGTACGTGGTCCGCCCTTATCCACAAGAAGTTCAAAGAAAAATAAGAGTGTCATATTTCTTACAGTCTCATATTCTAAACTATCCATCTTTCTATTTTGTCCTCTGCTTTCAGTACATGTACATATGCATATTTTTATTTACAATCCCTGAATAATAGTGTCATGATATATCCTAAATGAAATGATTAAGAACATTAATATTACGTTGTAAGTCAAATAAATAAGAAATACATATATTCTCATAAATTCATTATTTTACAATTATAACCAATCTTAATTTGAATACCAATACAGTTATCAATATTTTGTACTTACTTACCATTATACTAACCATCAGATATTAAAAATGAAAGCATAAAAATAAATTATTGCCATCTTTTAATGTACGCATTCATAAGCACTGCATTGGTGATATTTTTGTTGAAAGAAATACTTGCTTCTAGTTTGATTAAATTCCAATGAGTAAACAATTGCACAGCCACCATAACAGAGGAAAAGCTAGATCTAAAAGGGATCAAGAGTACAAAATTAATTCCTTGATTATTAATTAAAAAATATTTTCCTATCGTCAATAAAAAAAATAAAAACCTTATAAGGTCTATACTT